CACATGAGAAAATCCACGAAAACGCCCATGCAACCAGCCCGTTTACCGGGATTCGAACCCGGAGTGAACTACCAGTGTTCAGCGACTTTACCGCTCGGCCGTTTGTGGGCCTTTATGAAATGGAAGGCGATAACTTTATTTAAAATGATTGTCAGAAATATCAAGATATTTAGAAAAGTTGGATGTTTTTAATATACTTGCGGAATGCTTAAAGAAAAAGAGCAAGAATAAAGTAGAATGCCTGAAGAAAAAGAGAAGAAAAATAAGAAAAAAATTAATTTTTGGTAAAATTTAGTATTTGTATTTTTTTTTAAATTTAAAACTTTTTAATCTTATGATATTTGATTCTTACGATTTCAAAAATAAAATATTTGACTAAAATATGAATAACATTTAAGAAAGCCAAATGTAGGATAAAATTGTGTAAAGCAATGGGCACAATGATAAAACTGTTTAAAGCAGTGTGCAAGTCATCCTAAGTTAAAATGTCGCAATCCTAAGTTAAATTTCTCTCTTATTTATATATATCTTTTCTGAACGGAACATTGAAAGGCGTGTTAACTGTGCTTTACTGTATTTTCTCTTTTAATATATGCAGTTTTCAAACGCATCGTAGTCTGGGTTACAAAGTATTCCTCCGAAAGAAACGCAATTCAAATAAATAAAATCAAATTCTGGAAAATTTATATTAATAAATATATTTAAAATGCTCAATTCGAAGGAATAAATAGAAAATTTTAAAACATTATCTGAAGAGACAATGCAACACAAACAATTAAAATAAAAGTATAAGAATTTAAAAATTACCTAAAATAAAATAAATAAAATATGAAAAAATATATATAAAAAAAAAAAGAAAACTATTTGAAAAAAAAAAAATAACGCTGCACCTTTATTTACGCAGTTCGAATAGGTAAGTAGAAATTTTTAAAACAGTTATTCGAAAAAAAATCATGCAACTAAAACAATTAAAATGAAATTCGAAAAAGAAAAAATTACTTAAAATAATAAGTTATAATTAAAAATATAATATAAAGAATATTATTTGGAAAAAAGGAACGATGGTGACTTTTTTCCCTCTCACAGGAAAGGAAACTAGGTTGCCATATATTAAGAAGTTCGCCAAGTGAACTATTCTTGGCGCAAACTGACAAAAAAGTGCCAACATAAATTTGTGAATTTCTCCGTAAATTTTGCTCCAAATTTTACAAAATTTCATATTTAGGCGTAATTTGAGTCGTAGAATCGAAATATGTAAAAATATTGGTATGTTATTTCAGAAAAAGTCCGATTTTGTGTCAAAATACCTATGTTAGAATAGTGCTATATATAAATCTAATATATATCCTAAGTCGCGCTTTCGAGACATGAAGAACGCAATTTGAATTTTGTCAATCGACCCAGTAGATCGGGAGATATAGGACTGTCCCCTTTTTTTTTTTTTTTTTTTTTTTTTTTTTTTGAGCAGTGTACATGCTACAAAGTTAATATCCAACATGTTTTGAAATGAAAATAGTATAATGTCAGTGAGGTAGCCTGACCATTGCTAAGTGTAGTGCATTATTGGTTAGTGTTTTGGGCATGATAATTGGTTATGTATGGGAAAAAAGCTTTACAATGCAAATTCTGTCATGAATGTTCACCTGACTATCTGCCTGATATCTGATGCGTTCTTTTAGTTGCCTTGTGAATAATTTATGTTGTAAATAATAAATGTCTGGGGCTAGCTAAATTGCATTATCTTTGCATATCTGTGCTACAATCAAGAAAAGCTTGAGCTGGTAGAATAGGCATGTCTTGTTTCGTTTACAACAAATCAAGTAACAGAAAGAAATGCCCTTGTACTTTGAATTTTTAAACATTCCTCATCCAAGAAATTATATGCTGGATAAATCTTTTATCACTGGAACTGTATTTGGTGATTTATGTTTCTGAAGGTCTTGTAAGACATGTTTTCCAAATTTCCATGGTATTTTTAAAACATACATGCAGCTTCCTATCAAGTTCCCAGTGCACTAATAATAAAAGCTATGCAATATATGAAGGCATTGTCAATATAGGTGATTTCATCACAGGTTATGTTGCTTTTTCCATATGTAAAATTAAAGGTCATTTTACAAAGAAATAATTTTTATATTAGTCTAGTAGTGTTGAATACTGTGTTCTCTTCTGTGCTATGTAAAATGAATTCCCGTGGAAATAAAATGAAACCCTTTCCTCTTCAATGATATGTACTATTATTTATTATCTTACAAGATGTTTTTTATAATGTTCAAGTGTAGTCATAAATCAATAGCAAGCTTTGAAATTTGATTGGATTGTGCTTTCCTGTGTTCATGTCTGCATATTCCAATAAAAATTTACATTCTGTGTTATTTGGAGCAGTTGCAACATTCTGCATTTTGCACATCATCATTGAATTTCATTCGCAGTATTTGAGCAGAGTGTCATACATTTCTGTGTGGATGAAAATGCACACTTTTCTTGTAAAGTGTTTATTGAGAATAATTGGAAAGTTTTACTTTGCAGTAATAATTTATATTCCCTTTCTTTTATAAATTTTAGCAGTTTAAAAGTTTGAAGTCTGTATCATTAAATCTGGAAATGCTTTCCAAAATTGCAAAGATGGATTTGGGGAGTTAGAAGTCTGAAAAATTCAGTCTGTTTTTCCTTGTGTTAAACTTAGAATCTTCAGATAACTAGCTATATATTTTGACTGTTATAATGCAAGAGTGTATGAAAGGAAAATTGTAATAACTTGAATTCCTTCTCACCTAAAAGCAAATGGGAAGAGATGGGGTGTTTCCCAGTTACCTGATTAAAATTTTAAACAGTTATCATCCACTACTTAGGATTGTCAGTTAGTTGGTTCAGTATGCTAATTGTGACATCATAAGAGAGCACTGGTAGTTATTATTTATAAAACAGATTAAATTACTATACTTTTATAGAATAATGGGATGAAAACTTTAAATTTGAAATCTGTTAATGTTTTAAAATTAATTACATAATTCAGTTTTGATATTTGCTTAGAAAGATATGCAATTTAAAAAGAACACAGAATAGTTAAACATTTCTCATAATCAACTATCAACGCACAAGACTATTCAAAATTATGTATGGTAGTTTAGCATATTAGTATAACTGTCAGTTATCAACAAACACTTAGCAGAACTCAAATAATTTTATTTTATAACATTATACATGTTCAATATGAGTTCCTTGAGTCACACGGACAACATCCAGACAATAGTCCATTTCTTCCCTCAGTCGTTTGAGCATGTCTTGTGTTACTAAACTCAGAACATTACCCATGTATGTTCATAAGTCTTTCAAGTTGCATGGCAGTAATGGCACATAACATTTTGTCTTTCACAAAGGCCTACAAGAAAAGTTTGCATATGGTAATATCAGGTGATATGGGGGAAAGGTCAAGGAAATACATTTTATCATTTGCTCAGGTGCAGCCAATCCAACTATTGGGAATCATTTTGTTGAGGAACTCACACACCTCCAGCATGGAGGCCCATCATTCTGCTGAAAGATGAAATTTTTTATTCTTCCTGTAATTCTGGTAAAAGATCTTCCTGTAATTCTTTTCTAACATATCAAGATATATGTTGCCATTCACTGTGTTTTATGAAAAAGGATGGCCTTTACAACTTGGTTCCCGAAATAGCATAAAACATTCACTTTAGTGGAATCTCATTCATGCTTCACCATACATTGAGGTTTTTCTGTCTCCCAGATTTGCACATTATGCTGGTTAACTATTCTATATGGAACGTTGCCTCATCACTGAATATTAGGGGACAAAAAAGAACAGTCTCATGGTTAGATTTATCCTGCTTGGTCATACAAAACTCCATTCTTTGGTCCTTGTCTGTAGGAAGTAAACCTTGAATCATCTGCAGTCTGTAAGGTTTCATTTGCAATCATATTTTTAAAACATACCACATCCTTGCTTGTGGAAGTTACAGTTCGTAACTCAATTAAGTTAATTGATTACTTTGGGCTGTGTAGAAACATTGCTCTAATATTTTCTACATCCTCACTACTAACACGTTGTCTTCCTGTATTGATTGTATAAATTGGTCATGCATGCCTTTAGAAAGACGGTCTATTTCTTCAAAATCGTAATGTCACTTTTGAATGCTTTTGTCAGTCAGACTATCTTTCCCATATAATCTATGAAAGGCATGCTGACCAAAATTAAATTCCGACTTCGCAAAATGCAAAATGCCTTCTCTTCCCGAGGTGGTGTTTTTCTTTCTAGTGATTGCAGTGCCACCACTCCATCTGTACTAAATACACGCTGCGAGGAAAAGAAAAAAATTGAGGTTTCCTTCCTTTTAAATCCATTCTGATATGTCTATGTTTGAAAATGAATTTTTTGCAGTCCTTTTAAAGTACCATAGATCATTTTGAATAACCTTATATGTAAAGCTTTTAAAAGTTACATATGTCATAAGGGCATAAAATACTTAAGAAAATACTTATACTAGATGAATCAAGATGTTAGAATCTAACATTCGCAGATTTAGCTGTTGATCATAAAAGAAATGTAATCAAAGGAAAGGATAAATCATGCCTTTTTAAAATCAAGGGTATTACATACTGTCCTTTATTTTAATAGTTTTGTTATAGCTGCTGTTACAAGTAATGCAGTAAATTTAGATGTTATGAGTCTTAAAATGTCATATTATGCTGATCATGCTTGCCTGAACAATTCATTAATCTGTTAACTTGAATATTGCAATAGATATATCTCCTGCAGTGTTGGGTTATTTTTCATCATGTGCAGTATAGTACTGCAAATATCTCTTATAAATCTCGTGCAAAATGCCTCCTTCCTCAAAAAGCAGATAAAACTTTAACATTAAAATAATAATAACGAGTTATTTGGTTTGTATTTTAGGTTTTATCAGCACCAGTTTTCAGACCTGTTTTATGAATGTTAATGTCAGATTTTATCCATAACGAATTCATTGATGTTTCAGGTCGTCGTTCAGCCCCACCTCTTAATATTATAGGCATGCCTGGTTATGAGAAATTGACTACCAAGGAAAGAGAGGTAATTGCTAATTTCCTAAAGTTAGCATTGCATTTCAAGTATTGTTTTGTGTAAATAATAAATTTCATTACGCATCCAGAAAAATGAAAAAGTTACAGATTGTTATAGAACACAAATTTCATTTAATATAATATAAGGAAAATTTAGTTAAGTTTTAAGAATTGATTTAAAGTGTCTTTCTTCCCTGTATGCAAAACAATTTTTTTTAATCAGATGTATACCATTAAAATTTAATTGAAGAAGTTAGTTGTAAATTTTGTGAATAATGGTCAAATGAGCTAGTTAAAGAATAATGAATACTTATGCAGTATGTGATCTGTTGCTTTTAGTTGGTTATTTATTTCATAGATGATATCACTATTATACTGTTTTTAAATATGCAAATAAATATAAATAATTAAGAATACATGAATGAAAATGATTCCATTAATTAGTTTAATAACTTGTTAAATTTAACTAATATATTACTGGAGCTACAGTACTGCCCAAGTGACTATCTAGATTCTTACAGCCAAAAATAAATAGTACTGTATGTGAATGGTAGAATTTATGTCATTATGTTTACATAAAAATGTGTGATGAGTGACAACCATGCGGTGGCCCTGGGCACCTATTACACTCTGATGAATCAGTTCTGTACGATCCAACCGTGGCCGGTGTTGGAGTCTTGTCTGCAATTAATTAACTCAGATTAACCTTCTTATTTATTTACAACACAAAATGTAGATTATATACAGTTTGTACAAATAGAAATACGTCAATTGATAGAATTGTTTAAATTTATAAAATGATCATACTGAGCATTCGGCCTCTCCCACCGAAAGCCAGTCTCCAACTCACCCTTTTTCAACCTAGAAGGCGCTCCCTCTTTTTGGGATTACAGTGTTGGAGGACCAGGCACTAAAACTTCTATGGGAAAGGTGAAATAGAACAAGTGTTGCTTGCTGCTTGGAGATGAATTAGTTGTGGGGTTGTCTTAAGACAATTTTAATTGCAGAAAACATCATGAACCAAAGATACCATGGCAGATATACGAAAGGATCCTATTTTGCTTTAAAATGTTGAACTGTTAATCTTGAAATAAATTCATAGATCACATACTGCATCATTACCAAAAAAATTTCATAGGTCACATGCCAAATAATGCACATATAAAGGCATTATGTGCAATTAAAGTTTCAGTTTTTGATTATTTCTTTAGTGATTTTTAAACTTGTGTTTATTTTCACTTTAACGTTACACCATTACATCACTTTAGCTGATATTCATTTTATTATCTTTCACTTTCTGAATTATTTCAGTACAGTTGCATTCATTGGGAATATTTGAACATTCTACAGGTTATAATTGAAAAGCTCTATTATATTTTAGTAAGAGATGAGATGAAACTATAATTTTCTGTTTTGTGCTTGGTTAGCACTTGTGCTTTTTAATTGTTTGTAGATTTATTGGGTGTAAGACTAAAAATTGGCAAGTGTAAAATCTTAGCTTTCCTAAGGAGAAAACTAGCTTCTTTTGATTTGAAGCTCTATATTTTATCAGGGTTCGTAGCGGTCCTTATAAGTGCTTATAAGTCCTTATATTTGAAAATAAAATATAAAGGCCCTTATAGGTGCTTATGTTTTCTTTAAAGTCCTTATTTTTTTTTTTTGTTTTTAGTGCTTATTTTTTGCTTTTAGGTCTTTTTTTTTTTTTAATGAACGCGCTATTTTTCCCCGTACCAAAGCCGAAACTAAATAAACAACTTTTCTTCCTAATATGGAATGTCAGATGGTGAGTCATACTCCCGGAAATAGCTTTTCCCCCTTTCTCTGCATTAACATAACCTTTGGTGTGCACGAAGAGTACAGACAGGTGCCCATCATTCTATTGGTCAAAGACCCAAGCGAAGAATGATTCTATTCCGGAAATTTAACGCTGTCTGTTGAAAATTAGAATGAAAAACACCCCAGTTATTTAATTCTTTATTCTCCCAATACTGGCAGTTGTTGATTCCGATTGCATAATATCACGTAGGGAAGAATTACGGCGCACATATTGCGCAATAACGTTTGCGATATTTTGCAGAGATAATTAATTTTGATGTTCAGTCCGAGATTTGTTTATGAACACTTACTAACTGAAAGAGTTTTACTGTGCTTGCTAAGCAGAATATTTTTTAGTTCCGTTGGTTTATTTTTATATGATGCACATATTGAAATGTCAAAAGCATTTATTAGCGGAAAAATCTAAAGAGTGGCTACAGTCTACCCTCCGCTCCTTCAAGTTATGCTCGACTGTCCGAATATTCGCCAATTCCAAGTTTGCGGGTTAGTTAAGCTTTTTTACTCTTAAAGATGGCTGCATGAAGCAAATTTCTGTCTTCTGATTTCAGAAATGTTCCTCTTTTTTACTTAAATTACTTTGCTTGCAATTTCTGTTAAGAGAAAAACTGATATACAATGAAAATTTAGAAAATGTTCAGAATTTAGATTTAAATTATTTAAATATCAATATGAGTGGGAAAATAAATTGTATTTTTTATTAGGATCCAAGCAAATACAATAAATATGCCTTATTATTATTTATTTTCTCTATTTTGAACTGAAATTTCATCATTAAATCTTGTAATATAGTTTAGTTCTTCATAGTTTTTTTTTTCCTCTTATTGTAAACTAGTTCTGTAAATTGAACTATTATTTAAAATTTAAAAAAAAAAAAAAAAAAAAAAGTAACTATTTTCCATGGTTTAGGTAATGCTTATTCTCTCTTAATAAGTACTTCATTTCTCATATTTTAAATTACAATTCTAATTTTTAAGGTTATGCAGTTGTGTATGATGTAATTAGACAGGTGCTTATTTTTTTTCTTAAAATGTGCTTGAAAAGTGCTTATAGGTGCTTATTTTTTTAACTAAAATGTGGCTATGAACCCTGTTTATATACACATTGCACTATTTTGATTAGTCATACCTTATTGTGAACTGACTTGAAAAGTTTTCTATTTTATATATACTATATATAAGTAAACAAACTGTTTTTAAGCAAAGTATTTATTTATTTTTACCAAGATGTTTGTAACATTATAACAGGCAAATATTAAAAAATATTGTTTTAAAAAAGCTGTTGTTCATGTAAGTGATTGTCAGTATACAGATCTTCCTCTTTTCCCTTGTGTCGTCAATGTAAAGTGTTCCAGTAAAACCTTCTTAAAGCCAAAGTAGCATTAAAGCACAGAAATAGTTATGATTCTTGATATGGGAAAAGTTTTTGTTTCAAGGTCTCAAGAAAAACTTTTCAAATCATAGCAAGTAATTATTCAAATAAGTAAAAGAAATAATGATATAAAATTGTATATATTATATAAATGGAAATAACATATGTAGAATATAGTTTCAAGTTTGAAACAAGCACAAACACACAGGAAATCTTAAATATACTGACAGTGGCAATGGTGCAGTGAGCCAGTGGTGTATATTATTTGTACCTGTCATATCATTTTGTGTACACTGTCTGTGCCCATTTACGTCAAAAATTAAAATTTATTGTTCTTTGGGATATGTAAAAGGCTTGAAGTTAAGTTTATATACTCAGCTGTTATGTTTGAAACATTTTTTCCTGCTGTACAGTTCTTCATATGCAAGCAAAAACTGCATTACACTGGAAACTACATCATAATTAATCTTATTTTTCTACAATCATTACTTCAACCCTTTAACTGTCAAGTTATTTTGATGATTTGGGTGCATAAATTGTCGATTTTTTTTTTAATTGCCGCTCAATCAAATTAATGAAATGTTTGCCGCTCAATCAAAAAAATTGCCGCACACTTTTAACATAAACCTGTATCCTTTGAAACCTTCAGTAAAGTGCTGCCATCTGTTAAATTGATGTAGAAATAAACTTCCCACAATATATATTCAGTTATAACAATACGATGCACTCAAAGAAAAAAGAAAGAAATGACCTCAAGTAATTCTCGAGCGTGACATTTTGGAATACCAATGCTGTGCCCAAGATTATTTAGGGCATGACAGTTAAAAGGTTAAGCAAATAATAAACCATACTTTCACCTCTTGTCATTCTATTTAATATGAAACCCATTGTCTGGTTTCCTTCATGAACTGAAAAATGTATTAATTTAGGTATTATTTTTAAAAGCAAACATATGTAAAGCAAGGGACACCTGCAATTACAAATACAACATAATTTTTTAAAGCTGCATAAAATTGAGTTATCTTTTTGATTATTTATAATGATTAATTTTTAAGAATTTTATGTAGAGGGTGATTAAAATTTTATGATCAAAATTGCCTGAAATACCAACCACTGGTTAATACGCCTTACAATTTCATGTAAATATTTGTGAAGTTGAAGTATTTTGTTTTGTTACGATTGAAAATTAAAAGTCATTAAATGTCTCTGTAACACATACTGACAGTATCAAACTTTCACAAGCATAAGAGAACTCAAATCTGTCATTCAAGGAATGCTGAGCAATTAATGTGGATTAACAGGATTGTAAAGATCTGTACAGCATAATCATAACAAGGCTGAATTTTTGAGGTATGTGAATTTGGGCAACAAAGTTATAAGGAAATATAAATCCTTTTATGAATTGATAAAATCAAATATTTTCAGAGAACATTTTCCATATATTTCAAAGCTCTAATTTCTTACAATATATGTTCAACCTTTTAGGTATGTACTTTTAGATAGATTTATTTCTCCTGATGAACCATGTTGTAACTCATGTTAAGAATATTTAAGTAATAGTATGCCATGAAATATGACATAAGTTATCATCTTTGCAGAATTTAATTTAAGTGCAGTTAATATTCAAGGTTTATATTATCCTAAAATTTGGTTATTAGCTCCTGAATTTTTATTTGAGATTTATATAAAATGTATAGTGGTTGTTTGTTTTTATATGTATATAACTTTTGTAGCTTTCATTTTTTAAATTTGGAATTTAAATGATAATTTTATGTCTTTTTAGCTATGTGCAAACTTGAGAGTTTTTCCTGAACTATTTTTAAATTATAAAGCAATACTGATAAATGAATATAGAAAACTGGGAAGTTTACGTTTAGCAAATGCTAGGACTGTTATTAAAATTGATGTAAATAAAACACGTAGAATTTATGACCTTCTTTTAGAAGAAGGCCTTGTTAGTAAGAACAGCTGAGAAGAAAAATTCATATACCTATAGTGTATTTATTTCTATTTATATTGCCTGCATTACTGCACAAAAATTTTATGCTGTATTATAGAATTATTTATTTATTAAATATATGAGTCACTGATTGCACATATTTAATTGTTGATGATTTTCAATACTTTCTTCAGATGACATTAATTTATTACTTAATAATACAAATATTGTTATATCACATTCAAAAAAAATTATTTTACTGCACTATTAAATCAATATGTGCTTCTTGTAATATATAAAAAAAAGTTAATAAACTGGTTGTTCACCAAAGAATGATAGTGCTTTCTATGAAATAATATTGCTGCTTTTGTACAACTGAAATTGCATTTTGAACAAGAATTGAACAGTATTGTAAAATCATTTCATCAAAAGCCAGCATGCTTATCTTTTACTGAGCAATGTTAAATAACATATTTATTTTTTACCATTTTATATGTTTTGAATTGAATGTGTCATAAATGTTGAAACCATTATTACTGATTAAAGACCATGATCCTGTTCTCTCCCCCCCCAAAAGGCATAAGACCTTTAAATTATAGGTGAATCAAGAGAAGCTTTGTCAAGATATTGCTAAATCAGTAGTAAAAGCAGTAAAATTCTAGTAGCAGTAAAATTGTTTGTTTGATGATGATTTTAAAGCTTAAGCTTTTTAAGATTGCTTTTTTTTTATTACATTTTAAACTGCATTATTTTCTAACCTTATAATTTGTTAGTTCAGTGCAGTTACTACTTGTTAACAAATCTATTTTTGCAATATTCTTATGAACTATTTAAGCTGTTAAATGACATCAGTATAATGAATAATTGTTATGGGTAATTAATTATTACTTTTTTTAAATAATAATGTGATTTAAAATGCAAATTGGTCATGCATAAAATGCAATCAAATTGATGTTAACTGATGGATTTTTTTTTTTTTTTAATTCTAGAAATTTAATTTTAAGATATTTCCAATGTTGTTATTGCTTGTTTCTCATCCATTTAATAAATTTTCCCTATGTATGAGAAAAATATTGCCTCTCAAAGATCTTATCTGTCTTATGTGTTAAATGTGCTCTGTTTTAAAGGATGCTTTAAACCTTAAAAACTTCCTTACAAATGGATGTTTTTAAGGTGCTCTGTTTTTAAGGATGCTTTGTATTTCTCATTCAGCAAAATATGTAAGCAAAATATAAAGTACAGATTAATGATATTTTAAGAGTCTGTATCATGTAATGGTAAGAAACTTTCAAAAATTTTTTAGGCTTGTGAACTTTGACAATTCAAAATTATTTAAAACAAATTAATTAAAACTCCTTTATAAATAAAAAAATTGAGTATTTTAATGGGAATATTTTCAGTATCTTATCTTTTTATCCTGATGAATCATGTTACAGCTGGTGTTAAGTGTGTTTAAGTATGAGTATGCTTCGGTACACAACATAAACTAACTTTTTTATAGAATTTAATTAAAATGCTGATAATATCCAAGGTTTACATCATCCAAAAATTGTTAACTTATTTGCATCTTGAGTTTCACATTAGATTGTGAAAATTTGTAATTGGTCTTGTATTTTATAGATATTATATTTTTTTAGACTTTCAGTTTTTAAACATGAAATTTAATAATCATTTTATTTTGTATTTCTTTTAATCTTTCAGTTTTTTTAATATGAAATTTAAATAATCCTTTATTTTATATTTTTTCAGCTGTGTGCGAACTTGAGACTTTTCCCTAATTCTTTTTTAAATTATAAAGACACATTAATAAATGAATACAGGAAACTGGGAAGTTTACGGCTAGCAAATGCTAGGACTGTGATTAAAATTGATGTGAATAAAACACGTAAAATTTATGATCTTCTTTTAGAAGAAGGCCTTGTTAGTAAAAGCAGCTGAGAAAAAACACTCATGTGTTTACTTTTTTTCTGTTTAGATGTGTGTGCATCATTGTATAAAAATTTGTTGTGTATTTATAAATTTTTCATGTATTAAATATGATTCAAAACCATGAATGGCTGTGTTTAATTTTTGGTGGTTTTCATTATTTTCAATAACATGACATTGCTTTATTACTTAATATTAGAATTTCTATAAATTCCATTCAAAAAAGAAAATTTATTTTAAGAGCAAAAATGCACAGGTTGTTCAATCCAGAAAATTGCAGTGCTTTCCTTGAAAAAATACTGTTGGTACAGTATATTTTTAAGTGCATTTTGAGAAGGAACAGGTTAGCATAAGAAAGATTACAAAATTGTGTTATCTGAATCCAGTATGCATAACTTTTTTTGGGGGGCTGCTTTGCATATTTAGTTTTTATGAAGTGTGTAGTGGATACCTGCTTCTGTCAATGTTTTAATTGAACAGGTCATAAAACTTGTAACCATAATCACTGATAAAGGATTTTTCCTCCTCCCATTAAATAAAAAAAAAGAAAAACTTTTAGAAAAATCAATGGAAGCTTTACCAGAGTAATGCAAAATTACATGTATCAAGTAGCAGCAAAGTTATGTAAATGAGAAAATTAAGTATCTCGCCTATAGTTCCATTTGCTTTTTGGTTTGAATTAAATGATAAGCATTTTGGGTACAAAACAGCAATTGCGATTGTTTTAGAAATCATAATTATGATATCTGCCGACAAGAATTTCAAATATGCCTCGAATTAATAATAAATAATAGAATAGTGTTATTTTACACCAAGGAGAGTATATTGAGCATGATAGATATCAACCATACCAAATTAAGTAAAAATATTTGTATACTGTTTCTATCATTGAGTAAGTCTCTTTTTAAATCTATATGAAAAGTTTCTACTGTTGTAGTAAAAAAGTGCTAATGCTAACAAACCTTAAAAGCATTGTTTTAACTTTTTTAATACCTTGAATATGTGCTATTATTTTTAGTGTATTATATTGGGTTTTAACAAAAGTTTCTCATCGCTGCAAAAAAGTTCACGTTGCCTTGCTTAATCAGATTTTTTCAAACAATTTTTGGCATTTGAATGAAAGAGACTTGTCTTAGAATACAGTCTTGTGAAATTTGTAAAAAAAATATTATCTTTAAGTGTAAGGTATCTGAAATGGAACTATCACATTGTCAGATTAGAACCACCATTTACTTCTAGTTCTGTTGCAAAGCGTCAGCTACGGAATGTCACCAAATCATGCGTAGAGCTTGAGCTATTAATGTTGTATCATATGACATTGTGTAAATAGTTGTTGCTAATTAGTGACACAGAAATTTCATTTATCTTTGATATTATAAAAGCAACCTTTTCTCAATATAGCATTGAGGTAGCCATTTTTAAATACCATTTTATTTGGACTTCTAAACAGCACTTTGCTGCAAATGTTATTTCACACTGTGAATATTGTAAAAGGATGTATTTCTTATATACTGTAAGAGGTCATTTGCAAACTTGTTACCTATTCCTTTTGTATACTATCATTTGCTTTCTTAATACTGCAAATGGACAAAACTGAATAGTGGTGAAGAAATTTTGCACTTATGTAAAGATTATAATCCTCCGTGTGGATTTCTCTTTTACTTCTTGAAAGAGGTAATATTGTTTTCACATAATAACATATAAAACTGTTGCGGAAGGGGGGGAAGAAAACATAAAAATCCTGTCATAGTTTGTCGTATGTTGCAAAAGTAATTGCTGCAGAATGGGGATCTGCATATGTAATTGTGAAAATTTAATTTATCCTAGCAAACATGCAGATTATTTTTATATCTGTGTGGAGAATGTAACCATTTTACTTAAAATTCATCTTTCTGCATACTATGAAACTGTTTCTAAGAATTGTGATAAATATTTTGCACTTTTGTACATATGTAATACTTATTTTATATTACTTTCTGAGACCAGATGCTTCTCAAAATGGTTATATTACTTAACAAATTCCTTTCCTTCCCCCCTTTTTTTAACATTTGTATAATTAACTGTCACTGAAAAATTATTTTAATACAGGGTTTGTACGGTCCTTAAGAGTCCTTAGTTTTTTTTTTTTTTAAATCTATTTTTGCTCCTTAAAAGTCCTTAGTTTCGACCAAATTTGGCAGGAGGTGCTTAATTTTAATCATCTAAAATTTCTGTATTTTTTTAAGACTGGCATTTTGAATGTGAATTAGCATTTGGGGCAAATATTTTTAGCAATTTATTGACAAATATAGTTATTTTTTGAATGGGTGGATAAGTTCATAGATTATAATTTGTTCCTGTTTATAAAATTGAATACTCAGGTTTCTGAGAAGTGAAACATAAGCATTTTGAAATTATTTAATTTTTTTCTAATGAAGAGCTCTTAAACAACTTTTCGCTTTTGAGAATGTGAATTTTTTATTAAGCGGTTTTGAGAATGTGAATTCTTTATTAAACGGTTCCACGTTTGGCGACTTATCAACAATTTTAAGATCAGTTTCTATAGAAAATTTTTAATTTGGAAATCTAGGAATTTTTTTACGATATTTTTTTTAAACATTATAACATTGATCAGTTTCATTAAAATAATGCTAGTTTATTGAAACTGTATTCAAGAAATAACATTAAAATGAAACATTTTTATTTTTCGCTATCATATTATAAACTGACATTACTTTCCATTTAGGCGATACAATATTTTGAAGGCCTGTGGCTAGCCCAGAACCACCACAGGTCCCGGGCTAGGCAAGGTTAACTCAGCCTTTCATCCCTTGATTTCCATCACTTGGGTCGATAAAATGAGTACCAAGTTCGCTTGGGGACTAAACACTGGGGGTCCTGCGATTTTTAAGCTGACCACTTGCTCAGGGCCATATGCTTATGCACCTCGGGGCCCACAGTCAAGAAAGCAGATTTCGGGTACTGCAGGTTTTGGCCCATTAGGGCTGTTACGCCACTGAGTTTTTTTTATATTGAAACTGTATTCAAGAAATAAGATTAAAATGAAACATTTTTATTTTTCGCTATCATATTATAAAGTGACATTACTTTCCATTTTAGTGATAGAATATTTTGAATCTAGAAAATAAACAATAAGGCAATAATGCTTAAATTGTGCTTTATCACAGTTTACAAAACAATTCTTGGCAAAAAAAATAGCTAAGTAATTAATTAAAAATATTACATTTTAATTTTTTCATGGTTAGAGTTTTTCTCATTTAATTGTCTCAATATGCATCAGTTTTCTCCATAAAGTTAATTTTTAACATTTTTCCTCTGATTTCTTTTTCAACATATTTCTGGCGTTTTGCTGTTAAAGAATTGGTAGGGGTAATTTTTCTTTAGAATTTCGGACATTGACACTTGGAAAGTTTAGAAAGATTTGAAGGCAAGATGTACCCACAAAACTAGAAGATTCCATAAAAATGTGTTCATGGTATTAGCACGTAATGAATGTATTTTATAGAAAGTTTGTGATGAAATTTTACTTTTTGGAGAATTTTCAGAACAATGAAAACATAATATTTGAATATTTTACTTCTGATAATAGAAGTCTTTTTTTTTTTTTTTTTTTTTTTTAGCATATTTATCTTCCTTTTGTTTCCTCTACTTTCCACTAGACACAAGCACAGAAAATATCAAAAATGCTTCTAATCTTATCACATGGACAGGCATTTATAGAAAGGACTTTTGCTATCAATAAAGAAATTGAAAATTAACAATTTAAAAGATTCATCTTATATGTCTCAATGCATCATATGCAGGGCTGGCGCTACGCATTTTCCTATCTGATGCAAACTCCGTGGATCTTAAATTCTAAAATTTTGCCTTTTTCTAGATTTTGTTGCTCGGTGTGTCACTAAATTCTAAAAATTCTGCTACACCGGCTCTATAATCGGCCCTTACCATATATCATTTCATATACACTCATGTCCATAAATTAAGGATAATGCAAAATCAAGCAAAGGAAGGGTTAGAAGCAAAACAAATTTGACTTATTTGTAAAGCTTATTTATTAAACAAAAGGTAACAAGCAAAAAAAGATGCTATAAGTTTGATATTATTAAAAAAATTAGCGATTTTTTCTCCCTGAAGCAAATTACAAAAAAAAACCTATTTACAAAAAACCAATATTACATGGTTGGTATGATTGTTAATACATTGTATGTCTCCCAGACGATGCAATACAGTCCGTACAACGCCTAGGCATGCTGAGTATCAAATTATCGATCTGATCTTGGGGGATATTACACCACTCAAAAAGCAATGCTCTCCGAAGTTCCGGTAGACATGTAGGAAGAGGGTGATGGGCTGCGACTCGTCGGCCAAGCATATCCCACACGTGCTCTACTGGATTCAAGTCCGGTGAGAATGCTGGCCAGTCCATACGGGTGATATCCTCCGATTGAAGGCATTCGCTTACGATGTTTGCACGGTGAGGACGGCGTTGTCATCCATAAACACAAATTGTGCGCCCATGGCGCCCCAAAACAAACGTACATGTTGTTCCAGAATGACGTCCCGATAGATTTGGCTTGTCATGGTTCCAGTTTGAACATGCAGGTCAGTTCTGGAACCCAGAATAATTCCACCCCAAACGAGCACTCCTACACCATCGTAACGGTGTCGTTCAATGATGTTTTCTTGGTGGTAACGGGTACCTGGAGCTCTCCATATGAAAGTCCGGCGAGAATCAGACTTCAAGCTAAACCTGGACTCGTCAGAAAGCATCACACAAGAC